GGCTGGACATGTCGCAGTAGTAAATTTTGTTGACTGGATCACAACCTTCAGCTATATACAAGAGGACATACTGAAAGGGAAACAAAAAAATCAGTAACACAAGCCTTTTCAGAAAAATACTACCAGAAAAATATCAAGACAGGCACTTCTCCAAGCAAGCTTATATACATTGAATAAAGCTAACCCAATCAAATCTATCCCCACTTGAACATGCATATATGGTAATAAACAAGGAAACACAATCTTGGATAAGAAAGAATGTGCAAATTCAGTCATATAATCATGCTTGAAGTCCTCTTTGGATACAATCCTTACACTCTGGAACTACATCTGATTTTCCCAGGGACCAGACTGAAACGTCCAAGCTAACCAAAGATGAAAAAATGCAGGAGCACTACCGAAGACATACGAAAATGATAAGAAAGAAAGACTTGGGATATAGGAAGCTTCTTAGTGCCAATAAAATCTTTGAGGAGACAGCATTTGCTCTGCAAGAGCTGCAGAAGAAAATAATTTACCTTCCCATCATCTGTGACGCTGGCTCTAAAAGTGTATTTTGGATTGTCAGGATCCCTCCAGCATAAAACATCGTCAGATTGATCTGTGCCCACAAAATGATAGTATAATTCACGATAAAGGTTCGAGTTGGTCTCAGTCCCAGCATCAATATCTCCCCCTCTACAATATAGCACTGTTGTTAGCTAGTGATTAGCTCTTTCAATCATCTTCTAGACTAATAATCTCCTACTACTGAGCACAACATCATCATCATTTTGCTTTAGCATTTCAATAATCTACATCAATTCATCCCACATGTATGAAAGCTTCATTCTAGGTATTCACTAGCTTATCTTATGAAACAGATTTCTTGCTATCACCAAGGCTTCTCCAAGTCTAGAATTACCAATATCCAGTATGAAGAAATCTAGAAAACACTGCCAGAGAGTGTCGGCTTTCAGAGTTCTCGAAATATACAGTCTCAACATAGAAGTTGAACCAGATGACAATTGTAAAGAAAAGAGTCTATACAAGTGCTCATAAAGATTTTATGCGGCTGATGAAGGTTGGTGATCAACCAATGTCAGTACAAAGTTAGTAGACAATATATGCTTCCAGCAGTACTGGATCTAGATATGCAGGACAGATGAGTGATGTAAAATAATACACGGTGTTACCAATTTTCACATTATCGATTAACATTAAAACACAAGTACTGCTTTAAATCCTAAGACTACCTTCTACATCCCTTCTTCTCTTGTCAAAAATTTCCTCATCCATTTCAATCATCTAGCATTTCGACGAGTGTGTTAAAATTGTCATGGGTACTTACTTAGGAGCTGGGTAGCGGCTGTAGAAAAAACCTTTGCCATCATGGGTCCAATTGATAGATGAAAATTTAATCTGTCACCAGTATGACCACTTGTCTAAGTTTCAATCGAATGTAGCCATACATTGAGGAAGCTAAATTCCAAATCCTCACCCATGATAATTTATCAGGCTCAACTTTCTTATCCTTGACCCGCATAACATTAATCGTCACCCAATCACTTCCACTGGAACTAAGTCCATACGCCAAGTATTTGGCATCCTTGCTGACTGAAAGAGTGTTCAAAGAGACTGTTCCATCTTCACTAAGAGCATTAGGATCGAGCAAAACTTCTGCTTCTGCATCTAAACTATCCTGCACGATGCGAAGCATCCATAATGTGACTCTTCATTCGAGGGCCAAGAAAGAGGCATACATAAAGTTCTCTTCCAACTCAATTTCAGAATTAAAAAGATAAACCTGCATGTAAAGGACGTTTTGCGCTTGGAGCCCTGTATTATGGAAATAAAAATATTTGTTCCCTCGCCTGAAGGGTGCTTCATACCGAGGATGATCAAATAGCTTCGTAATCTTTTCATGGAGCTTATCCCTCACACCACACGCCTTCAAAACTGTCTCCGTAAATTTCACCTGATTTTGCACGAAGTCCTTCGTTTCTTCACTGTCAGGATCTTCAAGCCTAGTGATTTAATTGACAATTCGACTCTTAAGCGAACAATATATCTGAAAATGAACAAGTTTAATCTAGACTCTCCATCAACCATGCCACCAGCAACAACACTGTTCCGTTATATTACATTACAGATTTAGAGACCTTTCCAGAACTAAAATCCATTATGGTCCTCAATTAATAGCCATGAAGATCATACATCTCAAACCTTAACCATTTCTCAACATATGAAATTCCGACATTGCAATTTAACTCAACATATCTCAGACCATTCAACAAGCCTCTGTCTATTTCAAAACTTGAAACCACAAACAAAATTCAATCAGAGAATCCATCAATTGGCAGCAATAAGCAGCCTCGACACCTAATAAAAAAAATATATACCGTAGTCTAACAAACCGATTCTAAAATTCACTAGATGAGGAACAGTCTAACAAACAGATTCTACCATTGGCATACCACACAATCAAAAAGTCAAAACAAAAAAAAAGTTAGACTCCGGGTAACAACACTGCTCATTCGCGTACAAGATCCATCAATCATCAGTGATAGGGATCGGACATCTCGAGCGAACCGTCAAATTACAGCAGTCGCCTCAACACATCTCAGAATCAACTAGTCAAACTCAAAATGCAGTCTGCACATTAAACGTTCGACTCAATTCAAGTTAGCGATTTCATTAAATACCAGCGATAAGGATCGAATATCTTAACACCGAAGTAATCATCAACCACGGACTCATCTCTGCGAGTGAGCGGATACTGCAATGGCTCGTCCGGTGCGGCTAGTGATCCCATCCTACAACGCGTGACGGAAGCTGCTAATGGCCAGAAAAATAAGTAATGAGGTACCTTCCAATGAACGTAGAACTTACAATTCTTTGTTGTAATGGGGAAATTTTACATTAAGAACAGGCCGATTGATGTAGTGTTCTCTTATCGCGTGTAGGAATTTCTTCTCAAGTGAGTCTTTCTCAGCCCACCCTAAAGAGAAGCTCTAGAATTTGTATTAGTTGTGAGATCGTACAAATTGAGGGGAGAAGACCCTATATATATATACAAGTACTCTCTAGATGATTAGGTAGATTTTTTTTAATCTAACGGTGGATATTCTATCTCCTCATCTATCAACTATTTGCATTAATTACAAAGGGTCAAAAACACGATTCATTTCCCATATTGCCTGCTGGAATATTCTAGACCTTGCCCGGTCTTCTTGAATTGTCCTCGTCCTTCATGCACGAGAAACCTCCGGACCATGACATTTTCCCCCACCTAATTGGGCAACGGCTTCGTTGCATCTTCGGCATGGAAAGCATTAATTTGTTTCTTGAATTGCCATAGAGCTCTCATAATTTCCCAATTTGCTTCATTCGCCATCGGATCAAATACTCTCACTTCGGCGCACAATACCACTTCCGTATGACTCGATCCATCATATGATGAAATCAACGTCTCAATCATACCAGGTTTTTGCCCAAGAGGTGCCCATTATAACTCTCCTAGTCTTCCACATTTACATGAAAATGTTTAACTATACTCACATGCAACAACGGTGTACTGTCCGTTGCTGCAGAACTTGGCATAGTCCTTCATAGCGACTGATCAACCTTGTGCACGTCCTAATATCGAAGAACCAAATGTAGCTTAGGCCAATACTAGATTCCCGACTTGGTACTTATGTGCCGTCGCTTTTTGTTGCCCCATTTCTTTATGCGCTTCGTGCCTTTGTATAGGCAAGTTTGTGCCTAGTCGGCTTGTTCATGCCACTCCTCCTAGCTGAGTCTCCTTGCAAGCCTTGACAAGCGCCGCGAGTTTTCCTCATAATGGGCAATCACGAGCTCTGTGTGCCCCATCGCACAAGAAGCAATTGAAAGAGAAGCGCTGCTTCTTGTGTCCTCCATCGCTTGACTCCAGCTTCGTCTTTGCAGGGACCACCGGTGGATTGCCTCTACTAGCACGGTGGAACTTGTTGCGATCTCCCTCACTAGTGCCTTTGGTCCTAGAGTCCGACTTGTCTCCAGAGTTCTCCTTGTATTCCACGAGCGTCTCAGCCACAAATAGGGCCGTCGAGAGATCTCTTGCATCGTGCTCCTTCAACTCTCGCTTCATCCATGACTTGAGACCATATGGTAATCATAAATTGGCAATAGGCCTCCATATCATTCATAGTATCATTCATAGAGGGAGGGGCGATCTCGCCTCGGCGCCGCTGGCGTTGCTAGGCGAGGTCACCGTCGCCAGCCCAAGCCTCTGGATCGGCAAGCGGGTAGAGGAAGAAAGGGAAGAAAAAAAAAAAGGAAAAATAATAGAGTAAATAAAAATTTCGAAAAAAATATAAAAAAATTTATTAAAAATTGTCTACGTCAATACTGGCCGTGCCACGTAACTGGGACAACCGGCATCCATGTTAGCAATTTCCGATAAAAATTGACTGAATGGACTGAATTGGTAAAAATGCAAAGGATTTAGAACTTAATTGGTAAAAAAAAAAATTTACGATTGAATTGGTACAATTGCGATAGATTTATTACTTTTTTGATAATTCCCCGTATAAAATCTATGAGCTAAATCTGAAAACTTTTCTTGTGCTTGCATATTAAACTTTTATTGATATTTGAGTGCCCAGCCGGGGCTTGGAACGACCGTTGCCTCCGGCCGTGCACTTTTTAGTAATTGTTTACTTAGGAGTTAGGATCCATCAAATTTCAATTTTTTGTCATTCCATCCCTAATTAAGATTGCACCTTGCAACTAAGCACCTATGTGACATGGATGATGTTTCACAAAATTATAACCACGGGTAAGATAAGCTCTTAGTCTGAACCTATCAATTGCTATATAGTTTGTGAATTTAAATGCTACCTTAGTTCATCCATTTGTAGTTTAAATTGCTTGTTTTATCATTAATTTGATTTGAAACTTACGGAATATGTTTAAATTAAAAATCAGGTCACTTTAACTTCAGTTCAGTCGAGAATATAATGGAAATCGGACCGTACCGAATCGATGAACTTGCTGGCGAACTCAAGAGGCTCAAAAGTGCCGCCGAGACGCTCCTCAGCGAGAGCGGAGCGCCGTTTCGGGAGATGGCCGACGAAGCGGCGCTTAACGTCGAGCAGCAGGAGGCGGCGCGTGTCGCCGCCGCCTCCGCCCCCGACGGCGGCGCGGATTCGCAGGCTTTTCGCGAAGCGGTCCGTTCACTGCCTTCCGACGCCGTGAAGGACCTGCTGTCGGCAGGGGTTTGTTCCCGACCTCTCGTCACTTCTCTGTTTCTTTGCTTTTTAAGAATTATTTCCGTTGCGTAGCTTGAACGATGTTAGAGCTTGCTAGTCATTGTGAGCGACTCGATGCAGTTTCCGTTGCCTAGTTGGTGCAGTGAGTCGATTAAACGAAGATAAAATTGATTCGATGATTGTAGAAGATGCGGCGATGTATTTCGTGTGTTGCGTTCGCTGAAATTGCTTCAAGAGCATGCATATATGTATCTATGTGATGAACGGATTCGACTACATGATGCACATATACCTCAGACATGCGATCATTTTTGCTGCTTCTTCAGCTTGAAGAAGAAAATCTTCATCGAACAGATGTTTGAATGCTGGAACTCTGTATCATGATCCAGCTTGCTGCTTATTGATATCTCATTACAGTAATCAAAGAACGGGTGTTTTTTGAGGTGATTTCAATTCTCTTATAGCAAGGAGTTGGCTAGAATAGCAACACATGCATTATGATTCCATGTTGGCAAAGTTGGAGGAAGTTTGAGATCAATAGCTTAACCATACGATATGCCTTCGGGCATAGATTGCAACTTGCAAGTAGTTTTCCCTTTTTCTCCCTGGTGTGCATCTGTTTCATTCTTTTCTTTTCTCTTAAATGCTGTTTCAGGTATGTAGCCGTTGCATCATTCGGCTATTTGGAATCACAGAACCAGTATGCTCTTGTCCTTGGCTTTCGCCATCCATCTTCACTGAATTCACTGTAATGCCGGAAAATTCAGATGGCAGTTTGATAGATGGTCGGAATTCAGAAAGTGAAGACTTGACCAGTCCAGCTAAGCCAGTTGTATGCAGCGTTTGTTTAGGTATCTTGCAATTTTATCATGACAATGATGGCCAATTGTCGGTGTCCAAGGATGGTATGAACTTTCTGGCTGCTTCAATTGCTGAACTGGTCAAGCAAGGTCACCAAACTGATAGTTTCTCTCTCGAAGTCTCAGTACCACCAATTACATTGGATAATGAACGCATAATTATGTAAGAGTTGTTTTGTCTGAATAGAAAATTTTGGAAGTGAATTTTGATCTTTTCAATTGTGCTTATAACATGAAATACTCGATATATGCTTGCTTTCTCATCGAAACATCCAGTTTTGCCAAATGTTCTGGCTCATGACGAGTTAAAAGCTTAAAGGCAGTCAAGGAGCATTGCTCATGGTGTAGCTTTTCTAACATCATTACTTATGACGCAGTGAAATTGCTGTTGCAAGTGAGAGTTTTTTGTTTATATGAAGTCTACTTGAAGTATGCAGCATTAGTCCTCGTAGCTGCTCAATATTTTACATAATTGAAATGTAGTGACTGCAGAATCCCTCCTTCATTTGCGAGCAGGTCATATATGAACAGAAAATATGGATCTCAACTTTTTTCTCAGGGAAGATCATTTTCTGAATGCATCTGTTTGAAGAATGCCTTAAAGTCCTTGATCACAGCTCCTCTTGAAATGTTATTGGTGAGTGCAATGTTTTACATGAGATTCACTGCATGTTGACAATTGCAACTTTTTCCACTATTGAGAAATGATGGGATTAATAAGGCTTCATTAGTATAAGTTGAAGAGAAATTAAAATGTAGGGCTTTTGCTGAAGAAGGATGTTTGATCATAGGAAGTTTCTGTATTCAGAAAATGTTGGTGGAACTCAGGTTAACTGTCGATGTACTTGAATCAGGGCGTTAAGTATGGCCAAGGCCCTCTTCACATCCGTCTGACATACTCATCAACTGAGAAATCCGTTGAGCGCGAGTTTGGTTCAACTTCAAAGAGAAGGAAGACAGGTTCTTTTATATTCATTTCTCATGTTCAGATCGTATCTATAATTAAGAATGCTCTGCCATCAATCTGGGTACCTCCCTTCCTTACACATAAATTTTTCGGCTGATAAGCTCCTGAATCCTGACATCTTTCAAGCAAAAATAAAAAACTGGGACTATGTTGTTTAAGTTAGATTTTTCGTCCATCAACAGTCTTATCTTCATTTTTATCCTAAGACTTATACTCCACCTATCATGGGCACTATAAAAGAGGATTTATGACTTTGTTGGGTGCATTTTATGAAGCTATTGCAGAGTCCTACTTTTTCACTTTAGTCTTCTCAGATGAGAAACAGCTTTAATTCCTTGCTGTGATTGGAATATACGGTAATGCTGTGACAATACTTTTGACACAGGCAATGAGAATGGCTTAGAGACAGTTGATGAATTAATGAATTCCGGCATTGGAAGTATTTGTACCGGAGTAGGGCATACAGTAGTTACTGACACACCCCCAAATGGGCTTCAGCACCATCAGAGTTCTGATTTCTCTAAATTATTGCTAGAGAAGGTAGTTATCTCTCAGCATTTGTGAATTTTTATTTTCTGAAAAACGCTTGGTGGTGCTTGTTTGATATTTCTGCTGCTGCTATGCTCATTTTTGTGAAGCAAAATTCTCAAATGCTTAATTCTTGGAAATTCAGCAATTGATATAGTTATTAACTTCTGAAGTTCTTGATGCTGTTGGAAATGATTGCTGCTATAAACTTGACAGGAATTGAAACAGCTTGTTGTAGAGTAAAGGATATTATAACATTTATTTGTGAAGAGAAATTCTCTAAGTTGAACAGGAATTCATTTCCATGCATTAAGCATATTACTTTTTCCCAGCAATTTGTTTGATTCTGCAAATTTAGTAGGGGCTGCATTTTACAGGTTGTATCTTACAAGGTTGTTATTCAAATTATAGGTAAGGAGACCCTGCAGCTTCTCATTTCATTGCAACAGGGACCCTATCTACTTTGGTGGGAGATATTTAAAGGTAAATTCTTTAGTAAAGAAAATTTCCAGGATATATGGCATTTATATATTTACTTAAAATATCCCGTATCTTTCAACCCTTGATATAGCAGTAACTTCCATTTTTCATGAGCATCACCTTTTTCCATATTTCGTCAAACACCAGATTACTAGTTGACTAGGCACAACCTTCAAAATTCATGTGTCATACCAAGAAAAAGATAAAAAATCAACTCAAGTGTGATGTTATCTTTCCTTGCGAAGGGTTCCTTGCACATTTGAGAGAAGTATTGTTAACTTGCCCTATCTTGTAAGTAATGTTGGTAAGGTATGGTGTTAGACTAATTTTTTAACTAATGCAAGTTACTAACTGGGACAGTTCGTGCAATTTGAGCTGAGGTATTGAGTGAATACTTCTTTTTTTGGTGCTCATTGTGATATGTTTGCGATTCTTTGTGATATAGTATTCGAGAAATGTCAGTCAAACTTGTTGGATGATCGATGAAGAGAGAATGGGGGAGGCATCTGTTGAGGTACTATCTAGTGATTTTTTTATCAACATAGTGCTCATTTTTTTTCCTCGTCGTTGGCTGAGTCAATATGTCGTGTGGTTTCATATATAACCATGAATCTGAATCTTGGAACCTTGTGTTCTCATGTAGGAAATTATTAGCAGCTGCATTCTTCTCATGTGCAGAGGTGACAAGTACAAGTTTCATGCTGCTGGAAGAGAGGATATTGATGTACTGAACCTCTGAACTTCTTTGCACATTGACGATTAACGTGTCTGGAATTATATTTTGTTCCTTTCCAGGTTCGTATGTTAGGTTCGGGTCGACCTTTCTTGGTTGAGATACAAAATCCGCGACATGTCCCATCGGATGTCTTGGTAAAGGATATAGAAGAAAAAATTAATAGCTCAAGAGACAAACTGGTGTGTATAAATGGTTTTCTTATGGCACTGTCTCTTCCCTCTTGTTGAAATTGTTATTAGCCATAATTACCAATGCTTCTTTCAGGTTAGAGTAAAAAATCTCAAGTTGGTTGGCAGTCACGGGTGGACATTGATGCGTGAAGGAGAAGCAGAAAAGCAGGTAATTTTTTGGCTTAAACTATGCATTTGTAATCACATGAAAATATGTAGCAAAGGTATATGGCATGTTTTCGGAAAGTATAAGTGGATCAAATGAACCTGACTCATTGTTAATCACATGGTTTTGTTGGAATTTACTACAAACAGAAGCAGTATGCTGCGTTGGTGTGGATTTCTCGGCCACTTGAGGATCCTGATTTGCTGTCTATATCTTCAGTCAGAGATATGGTAAGTTTGTCTGAGTAATTTCATTCGCCTGGTGGACAAGTTTGATGCTTAAAGTGAATCTAGACATCCTTCTGCGCAATATCATTGCTTCATGGAAGCTGTTGCTCTGCCTTAGCAGTACAAACTTTTAAGACAACTGTAATCAGACCACAGATGTAAGCAGAAGTGAAAAAACTGGCCGATTTTGTTCATTTATCGTAAGAATTCTATGTTATTTGCATTTGGGTTTGCTCTTCTTTTTCTTTCTAAGTGGAATGTTAGGCACGCCATTATACTATATGTGCATGAACACGTCTTAGGAGACTTCCAACACAAGACACGATAGTTTTTTTTCCTTCTGCTGAATAGTAAAGTACATGGTACTTGAAATGGCGACAGTAAACTCCATCTTGTGAAGTGCTGAGAACCAATGCCATTATTATAGGTTAAAGATGAGGTATATGGCTTATGAGATAATGTTAAAGATGGCCTGCTATCAGTCTGTCCCTAAAGCTTCCTTTTAGATTGCTCAGAAATTTTAATTTGCATTGCGAGATTATGAACCTTAAAACATGAGAGAATTGGGAGACAGTTGCTTCTTTCTTTTTAATTTCCTTTTGGGGAGAAAGAGCCCTCAAATGAGGGGGGAAGAAGCGGTCGATTTAAGGGTGTTCAGGGAGAGAGGGAGGAGCCATGTGGTTTAAGGGGTTGGTTTAAGGCTTTTAATTTTTCATTCCTGATGTCTTAATGACTACCATGATCACATGATCTTGAAAGCTTCCATCACACTATGTGCTTCTCCACTCTGCTTTTTCCTTAGTTATGCGAGTTAATTCCTTGAGCTACTGATATCGACATTAATCGTTGAAGTTTTACATATTACATTGCTTTATAATGTATAAGTTGAGTGCAATTTATTTCTTTTGCTTTTGATCAGTGTATTCTGCAAAGGACCCCAATAAGGGTGCTTCACCGTCGGAGTCCATTAGATCGTGAAAAAATAATACACTGGTTAGTGTTTTTCCAGCTCAGTGAGTGTCATTATCGACCTTATAAAGACATGCTTGTTAAGAATCTCTCCTCTTCAATCTTAGGATGAAGACTGAAAGGATTGCGGGAACTTCACAGTACTTCATTCTGCATTTGTGTACACAGGTAAAATAGAGTTGTGTGTGTTCAGAATATTGTGAACATATGTTTCCTTCGTGATGATGCTTCAGTCATAGGTATTATTAAATCTGCAGGCTGGCACATACATAAAGGAGTTTGTTCATGGGGATCTGGGCCGTACACATCCAAGGTATGAATCCTCCATCTTTTAGCTGATAACATATTATTTATTCAAGTGGACGCCCTTTTCTAGAAATGGTAAAGCTTAAACCTTAGGCAAGAGTCATCTGCACATCATGATTCAGCAACTCCACAAGCTCATGAAATACCACCTTGGTAGTTTGAACGCCCATAAGTGTCACCTACTAGGAGGAACTGGCCAATCTATATATAATGGGGTGTCGGTTAATCTTTCGTACCATTAATGTTTATGTCAGCTTATTGTGGGTTCTCTTATAGACCTATAAAATTTAATATTGGATATATTACAACGTTAAATGGCCTTTGAGTACGCGGGATGTTCTGTCTCAGAAAGAACGGACTCTGGAACTTTTCAAGTTATTAACTCTATGCAATGGTGTTTTCAACTATGTGTTTTCCTGTTTTTTGTTGTTTGAAATGTCAAAGTATCACACGGGAGAGAGATTCAAGAATATCTGTACAACCCTTCTTTGATATGACAGAGATCTCGGAACTAATTTCGGACCTTTTTGTACAGCGTTGGATCAATACTAGGTTGCCGGGCTGAGATACTGCAGCTTGATGTTACGGATGTCAAAATGGACGTTTTTTAACTAAAAAACCTTCGTAGAGAAACGAAGGCACGAGCCTTGAGGAGGACGACCAAGGTTTCCTCTTTCCTTTATTTTTATATTTCCCTTGAAATTCTGGATCCTTTTTTCTTTGCTATAAAAAGTGCAAGATCTCTTGATCTGCTGGACCCAATCACAATGGATTTTTTTTTTCTTTTTTGTGGCTACGGACTTTGATGCATGCTCGAAGTCGAATTTAGTTTTAGCCATTGGTTTAAGATTGTCGACCTCTGCTCATTTGCCAGAGCAATCAAAAGCAGTCGAAGTAATAATGGCTACTGCAGAAAGGACGAGAATCTTACTGAAGCTGCAAAACCTACTTAGCAGCATCTCATTCTGTGGTTTCTGTCTTCATCCTACTATCACAATGCGTTAGTTTTCAATTCAAAAGAAAATGCCGACCAAAATAAAAAAAAAATTTCAAAAGAAAATTCCCTAGACATTGTGAAGTAATAATTAATAATAAACTATCTATAATTTCCACAGGAAAGAGAGAATCAACTCAAGCAGGAATACAAGAAGTGGAACTCGGGCATTTTATGGTGCGATCGTTTCACGAAAAATAAGTGATTTGAAAATTATTTTTCAAAAGATAATTACTTATATCTCTTAGAAAAATTAGTCAACGAAAAATATTTTCATCATTGATAATAATCTATTACTAATTATTTTCGTTGGTGATGAAAAAAATTTTCATTCATTTAGATCATTTTTCGAAAAATGTTTTCCAAATCACTCAATTTTCACGAAATGAACGCACCCTTAGAGTCTACTCAATCCAGGAAGCATCCAGCATCTTCGCCATGAAACCATAGCGATCGGCAGCTTCGTCGATCTGAACCAAAGAGAAACCACGAAAAATTGGGACCGGCGTGGATTTTTCGTGAACAGACTATGGTGTTAAATGGAGAGAGAGAGATTTACCATCTTCTTTGTAGGACGCCCAGCTCCATGTCCGGCTTTGCACTCGATTCGACCGATTATGGGGTTCGTTTGGGGGCTTTTCTCGAGGCTTGTGCATAGGACGTATTGCATCGTCTGAAAGGAGAGAGTAGGAGCCGATTATCAAATTTCTGAAACGAACAAAATATAAGCACTTCTATAACCTCACGCTTCTTTTTATAGGAACCATCCATGTGCGCGGCGGTAATGCGTATCATAACAACCGTTGGTTCACAAGACAATACAAAAGGTGAGCTATCATTCCTTGTTTTGCTACCAGCGTTGTGATATACGGTTGCAGTGCATAATGGTTCTCAAGACACCTCGAGAGTGACCAATATAAGTAACAAGCCATGCTAGGAGCGAAAGAGTGGAAGAAATTGGCAATTTCTGTCTATCATGGTAAAGACATGGTCAAAAACATTGTGAAGAACTTACAGCCAATAACTTCAATGAATGCAGCGGCACAACCCGATCGTCGTGATCAGCAGTCAATAGCATGGTAGGTGGGTACTGGACTGATTGATCCGGACCTTGTTCCCATGGCCTCCTCACATTATGGAGCGGTGAGTACCTAAAAAAGGCATGAATCAGCAATTTCTGTCGAATAAAAGGTGCAATGAGAGGCAAAACAACATATGAGGGCCACAAAAATCCCAGTGCCATGCAGATGCGGAGTGGTAAGGATTTCCCAGACACAGGGCGTATAAAAGATTCTATGTGTATGCGATGAGCTTATTCAGTCACCATTGAAACCAACACTGTTCAAGCTCTTCTTACACAGAAGCATTAAACAGAGCTAAAACCAGGACAAACTTACTTAATCAACCAATGGAATTCTTCCTCTTTGTCCGCACAACCAAAATCAGAAGTCCACGCATGCCCTGTGGTTGTACGTGACAATAAATAAAGTCAATAACAAAATCGCAAATGCACATGACAAGCAAGCAGCACGTGAATATGTTCACACGCACAGGGAGAGGGAGACTGACCAATAGTAAATTTGTGAAATCGCAGCATGTCCATAACACCAACATGAGCCAAAGCACAGCCGAAAAGATCGGGTCTCTGACAACAATCTAGCTTCAGATAAATATGGAGCTACCCAATCAATCAAGTCAACAGAATCAACAGGTAGTTACAAAACCTGATTTATACAAGCCCCAATAAGAAGTCCCCCGTTGCTTCCCCCTTCAATGCACAGCTTTTTGGGTTGGGTATAACCTGCAGAAATGAGGTACTGAGCAGCAGCGATAAAATCATCAAAGCAGTTCTGCTTTTTTGCCAAGGACCCTGCTTTGTGCCATTCCTCTCCATACTCGCCACCACCACGAATGTTTGCTATGCAGAAAACAGCTCCCAAGTGTCTTGTGAGTACAGTTCGGCTGACACTAAAGGATGGCGTGAGGCTAATGTTGAATCCGCCATAACCATATAACAAACATGGGTGTGATCCATCCAAAGAAATATTCTTTCTGGATACTACGAACATTGGTATCTTGGTGCCATCCTTACTAGACACAAAAACCTGAAAGTTGAATATATTAAAACTAGTAAACATGACCATGTACTATTAGATGTGACCGTGGCAGAAGTTGTTAACATTCAACACAGCAATTGAACAGGAAACCCAATACAACAGAAGTTGAAAAGTACAGTTATTATTGTGGCCTTGATACCAAAGAAAAGGCAAGCACCAGGCAACAAAAAAAGATTCCAACGTCAAGAAAAGAATGTGGAGCTGATAGTGTTAACAAAATATCCATTACTGACAGGTGAACATTCTTATTTACCTGATTGACATGGAACTCTGAACGATCAAATCCAGAAACTACAATTTCACAGAAGATCTTCATATCTGGAACCTCATTCTGTAGATCACACTGATATATGATACCAGGCGAAAGAAAACTGGTAAAGCCAATAAAAATGGTACTATCTTCACGCCGGCCAGATATACCATAAACTGTCCCAATGTCAATGGGCAATTGATGCAGCAAAGAACCTGTTTTTAAATCCCTTATCTGCACCACGTATTTCACATCACTCAAATAACTCACTATCAGTTGGTTATGATTGACTGCGGAAGCCGATTCCAGCACATCCTTCTCAGCTTCTTGTATGACATCAGTCCAAATATTGGGTTCCCTCAGATCCACCCTGACTAATTTATACCTGGGGGCGTCTTTGTTCGTCAGGAATGTAAATATAGTTTCATCATTTGCAACAGCTTCATACTTTGCATCAAAGTTATCTACAAGTTTAACAAAAGGTAGTAGTTCATTTCTCTTCTTCAGACCTTCAAGCCCATCCAGCAGGCTGGACATGTCGCAGTAGTAAATTTTGTTGACGGGATCACAACCTTCATCTATATACAAGAGGACATACTGAAGGGGAAACGAAAGAATCAGTACCTTTTCAGAAAGATACTACCAGAAAAATATTAAGATGGAAAAATGTACGAGCACTACCAAAGGATACGAAAGTCATAAGAAAGAAAGACTTAGGATATAGGAAGCTTATTAGTGCAAACAAAATCTCTGAGGAGAAAGCATTTGCTCTGCAAGAACTGCAGAAGAAAATAATTACCTTCCCGTCATCTGTGACACTGGCTCCACAAATGTACTTCGGATTATCAGGATCCCTCCAGCATAAAACATCTTCAGATTGATCCGTGCCAACAAAATGATAGTATACTTCTTGATAAAGGTTCGAGTTGGTCTCAGTCCCAGCATCAATATCTCCCTCTCTACAATATAGGACAATCGTTAGCTATTGATTAGCTCTTTCAGTCGTCTTCTAGCCTAATAATCTCCTACTATCGAACAACAGCATCATCATTTTGCTTTAGCATTAGCATTTCAATAATCTACATATATTCATCCCACGTGTATGAAAGCTTTAATCTACATATTTACTAGCCAATCTTATGATACAGATTTCTTGCTATCACCAAGAATTCTGCAAGTCTAGAATTACCCATATCCAGTATGAAGAAATCTAGAAAATACTGCCAAAGAGTACCGACTTTCAGAGTTCTCGAAAATATTACAGCCTCAACATAGAAGTTGAACCAGATGACATTTGTCAAGAAAAGACTATACAAGTGCTAATAAAGATTTTATGTGGCAGATGATGGTTGATGATCAACCAATGTCAGTACAAAGTTGGAAGACAATATATGCTTCAAGCGGTACTTAAATTAGATATGCTACCAAATGTCTTGGTTTGACCAATTTTCACATTATCAATATTAAAACACAAGTACTGCTTTAATTCCTAAGACTACCTTCTTTATCCTTCTTCTCTTGTCAGAATTTTCTTCATCCATTTCAATCATCTAGCATTTTCAAACAAAATCTTCCCGACAGGTGTTATATAATTGTCATAGGTACTTACTTAGGAGCTGGATAGCGGCCGTAGAAAAAACCTTTGCCATCATGGGTCCAACTGATAGATGAAAACTTAACCTGTCACCAATTTGACCGCTCATCTAAGTTTCAATCAAATATAGCCTTACATTAAGGAAACTAAATTCCAAATCCTCACCCATGATAATTTATCAGGCTCAACTTTCTTATCCTCGACCCGCATAACATTAATCGTCACCCAATCACTTCCACTGGAACTAAGTCCATAAGCCAAGTATTTGGCATCCTCGCTGACTGAAAGAGTGTTCAAAGAGACTGTTCCATCTTCACTAAGAGCATTAGGATCGAGCAAAACTTCTGCTTCTGCATCTAAACTATCCTGCACGACACGACGCATCCATAATGTGGCTCTTAATTCGAGGGCCAAGAACGAGGCATAAATATAATTCTCTTTCAACTCAATTCCAGATTGTAACAAACAAACCTGCACGTAAAGGACGTTTTGCGCTTGGAGCCCCGTATTATGGAAATAAAAATATTTGTTCCCTCGCCTGAAGGGTGCGTCATAACGAGGATGATCAAATAGCTTCGTAATCTTTTCATTGAGCTTATCCCTCAGACCACACATCTTAAAAACTGTCTCCATCAATTTCACCTGGTTTTGCACGAACTCCTTTGTTTCTTCACTGTCAGGATCTTCAAGCCTAGTGATCCAATTGAAAATTCAACTCTTAAGTGAACAATCTATCTCAAAATGAACAAGTTAAATACAAACTCTAGACTCTCCATCATCCATGCAACCAGCAACAGCACTGTTCCGTTGAATTACATTACAGATATAGAGACCTTTCCAGAGATAAAATCCATTATGAAGGTCCTTAATCAGTAGTCATGAAGATCATATGTCTCAAAGCTTAACCATGTCTCAGCATATCAAATTTCCAATATTGCAATTCAATTCAACATATCTCAAACACAACAGGTCAAACACAAAACGTATACTCTATACTGACTATTCAACAAGCAGTAAACAAACAAAAAACCATATGAGATAAGCATCACATATCTCATCAACAACTATCGATAAGCACCATATATCTCATAGGCGAACAAACAGATTCTACCATTAGCCTAACTCACAATCAACAAGTCCAAACAGAAAATCTAGACTCAACTGCTCCAACCAACAAGATTCGAATATAGGATGCATCGATCATCAGCGATAAGGATCGGACATCTCGAACCTATGAATCCTCAAATTTCCAGCACTCGCCTTCAGGTCAACACATCTCAGAATCAACTAATCAAACTCAAAACTCGACATTGAACATTTGACGACCAGCAACAAACATTTCATTCTATGACCGAACCAAAAACTGCCGGAAAAAAACAAAGAAAAACCACCATTTCATTTAGCGAATTCGTCAATTACCCGCGATAAGGATCCGATATCTTAATGCCAAAGTAATCATCAACGACCGACTCGTCCCTGCGGGCGAGCGGATACTGCAATGGCTCGTCCAGCGCGGAGAGCGATCCCATCCTGCGCCTCGAGGTGACGGAGAGGTGCCTCGAGAAGAAACGGCGACAGCGAAGGCGATTGCGTGCGCTGGACGCGTCGAGATTGGGAATTTGAGTTCTGAGAGGGAAGAGAGCGGGAGGGGCATTTATAGGAAGGCCATGGAGGCGGGCCACGGGGGTGCGCGTGGAGAAGGGCAATGAGGAGAGGGCGAGGCGAGCCTGACGAGGCAATGAAGACATGATTTGGACGGGTCTTAGGGCGGAGTTGCTGGGCCGAGAGGAACGGTTCGGACGAGCGGCGCGAGCACCGGGGCGCTCGGATGTTGTCATTATGAGCTTAAAGTGTCGCCATTTGTTGGACTTACTATGCTTTGGGATTCCTCTTTTCCCTTTCGAATTTCATTTTCTCCTCTGTTTTTTCTCCTTTTTTCCGAGGTTTTATTTCCAAGGGATTCTCGAAAACGACCGCCTTGGATGTTGCTGATTGGTATCATCTTTGATGGACGGATGCGCATTCATTCATTTCCTTATTCCCCGGAGGTCCATTTTCATGCTTTTATCTTCTAATAGCGTGGCACGACGAAGTGGACAAATTCGCAATTGAAATAATCGAGATAATTATTCGCCGGTAGCATAATTTCTCCGTTTCGAAAATAAATTCGGATATGTCATCTTTTTGTTTTTTTGGTCGATAATTCGGATATGTCGTCTCGACCCTCCTGACCTAACTAATTTGCATTTTCAAACACTTTCTTCCTCCACCTTGTTCATTTCCGTGCTTTATTTTCTAATTACATGGTACGATGAAGTGGATAAATTCTTAATTGAAATGATTGAGATAATTATTCGCCACTAGCATAATTTCTTCTTTTTGAAAATAAATTCAGATGTCATCTTCTTTTCTTTGTCGATAATCATCTCGCCACTATGCTTTCCTGAGTTAACTAATTTGCATTTTCAAACGCTTTCTTCCTCCACCTTGTTCGTGGAAGGTGCAGTACATGCTTCTTTGTGACTTATGAGTCAGATACGTGCATCTTTTAATCATTTGGAAGCTTCTTATATGAGTCATGTCCACTAAAACGTGCGAGGGATATAAAAAATTATTTATTTACTCAATCGTCCACGTACACAGTGTTTTTCCAATAAGTAATTAAGGATATTTGGAGGAAACATGCGAGGGATCAAATTAAATTATGTATTTACTCAATCGTCCACGTACACAATGATGGTGAAATTAAGTAGTTAAAGAAAAAAGCGATTGAGATCATTAAAAGTAAGAACTCCTCTTCACTTTATGTAATTGTATAAATTTAGCAAAGTGGGTGGATTTGTTTTTTTGGAAAATGACACAAATGGTCCATGAACTTTGGCCCAATGTGTAATTCAATCCCTAAATTTTTAATTTGTTCAATGTAGTCTCTAAACTTTAGCCCAATGTGCAATGTGATTCCTGAATTTTTAATTTGCTCAATGTAATCCCTGAACTTTGGTTCATCTTCAATGTAGTCCCCCAACTATATGAAATGTTCAATGTTGTCCACCATCTCGAATTAATGAAAGGACCGCATCAGGGACTACACTGAACATGTCCTGGGACCACATTAAATAAATTAAAAGTTCATAGACCATATTGCACATTGAACCAAAATTAATAAATTATTTGTGTCATTATCCCTTATTTTTTCAAAGGACGGAGTGCACAAAAAGCGAATTCAATAGGTTATAAATCTCAAGACTAGAAAAATATCATCAATCACTATATTTTTCTGAAAAGTGGGCAAGATGGTAATCAAACAAGCCAACTCTCTATGTGCACAATTATCACTTTCTTTATTATTATGTTTAGGTCCCAATTATGATATGTTTTTTTTTTTTTATATTAGTGAGCTGTGTCCCAAATATAAAGTACGAGGTCAAGGAAATAACAATGATTCTACCTTGAGAAACAACTATCTGTTGTCTATTAGGAAAACTATCAAATCAGTTCTAAACCTAACGTACGGATGCTAATTCAGTCATAAACTTTTTTGTTTTGCCAATTTAGTCATAAACCTTTGGGCAAAATTTCAATAAAGTCATTCCAGTCAATTTTCATTGGAACGGCCAACAATGACTAAACTGTCACATCAGCAATTTGCAACATTGGAATTTCCCACAAATGTTTAGGACTATATTGGTAAAATTTAAAAAATTAGTACTGAATTCACATCCGTACATTAAGTTTAGAACTGATTTAATAGTTTTATCGTTGAGGACCTTTTATATCAAGGATTAATATCACGAAAAACCCAAAACTGGTACACCTGTGACAAATTTACCCAAAACTGGTACACATGTGATAATTTTACCCAAAACTAATTTTTTTACTATAAAAGACCCCAAACTGGTACATTTGTGATAAATTTACACTCCGTTAATTTCAGATAATTGGATTAATGCAAAAAAAAAAAATCACAAACCGGTACACCTATGATAAATGGAGGGTAAAACCCAAAACTGGTATATCCGTCAATTACCGGGTGTCATTTAACAAAATAATTTAACAGTAAAATTTAACGGAAACTAATGCAGGGTAAAATTGTCACAGGGGTACCAATTTGGGGTTTTTGATTGTCAAAAAATTAGTTTTTGGTAAAATTATTATAGATGTACCAGTTTGAAATTTTTCGTGGTATTAACCCTTATATCAATGGATTCATTGCTGGTTTGGCAACACGAAAGCTTGCAGCTGAGTCATTGGTTCGAATATCGTTTTATTCCACTAGATCCGTCCCTCAGGCAGGCTATCTACTTTCCCAAAACTTCACAAGAAAGCAAGACGACAGCAGGCTTGGTGATTATGGGTGCGTTTGGTACAGCATTTGGAATGCTACTTTGGGAATGCAAATGCCTTTGGGTGGAAGCCCTTTAGGAAAAATGCAAATGGCGTTTGGTAAAAACTCATTTGCAAAGCTATTTTGACCAAAGTGGTGTTTGGTTAATTTTTTTACAAATGGGCTTTGAGGGGTTTTTTAAAAAAAGGCAAAAATACCCTTCGCGGCTCCGGCGAGGGCTACGGCTCCGGCCGAAGGGCTATGACCGCCGGCGGAACCCAGATCTGGCGCCGCCGGCCGTCGCCCGTCGCCGAGCGACCGGCGAGGACGCCGAGCCTCGGGCTTGAGACGAGGCACGAGGTCGCGCGACCCCCGGAGCCGACCGCACGGGTCGCAAACCCCAGCCGACGGCCGCTGGGTCGCTCGACCCCGGGCCGACGGCCGCACGGGTCGCGACCTCGAGGCGACGGCCACTGAGGTCGCGGGACCTGTTGACGGCGCCGCCACAAGCGATCGCCCAGGCCGAGCGCCGCGGGCGTCGCGATTCGGCGGCCGTCGCTGGGTCGGCGACTCATGCGGGACCTTCGCCATGTACCCTTTGCCTACTGGGAGTCCCTTTGGTGAAGAAGATGAACGATATTCTGAGAGGGCAAAGCTAGGAATATTGAAATTTGAGTGAGGGTAGTTTGGGAAGTATAAAAATGATTTTGGCATTTGGTTCGAAGTGAAAGTCCAAAGCTAGTCCCGATCGGCGTGGAAACCGGCTTTCGAGTTTGAAAATGCTAGTTTGGAGCATTTCAATGCTCAATGCTAACTTAGATTTGTTCGGCATTTTTTTGGAAAGGGGCTTTGAGTGAAAGCAGGCTTCTTGTGCCAAAGCGCAGCCTTATACATGCACGCATGGGGTTTGCTTCCATGTATTATCCATGATGTCGACAGTCGTATAAATAGTGAAGATTCACGTGATCGGAGCCAAAACTTTCGCGTCTCGATACTATAATCTAATCGAAATTAGCGTAAGATTATATTCCCTCGATAAGGGGTGAGCGTGCTGTTTAGAGATCTTTAAGTCTTTAGGCTTTATTTAATTACGTAGTTGCACAATACGCCAGAAAGATAATGTTGGCTTGCGTCAGTTGAGCTTCATGAGAATATTAGGTGGTGTTAAAATAGTCCCAACTTAGAGGTACGGATTCATAAAGAATTTCAAGAGAATCAAACGACAACGAATATATCCTGCACGGGCGGGATAATTTAATATACCAGTGGAGATTTTGTTAGGATCATCGCCAAATCTTGTGAAAATGTTAGTTGTCCAAAATTTAGAATCCTAGTTTTCTTAATCCCTCACTCCCGGTGCCTCCACTTTCCGAGAGTGTCACCTGTCGCTGGCTCCCTACCGCTGTGAACCCATCATTCTCACCCATTTGACCCCACTCCGTCGCTCGTCTCCCCTCCCAAGCTCATCCACCACCCCCCTCTCTCTCTCTCTCTCGATTGGAGGATGATTAGGGAGAGAGAGAGAGATATTGCCGGCGAGGCGGGCCGCGAGGCTGACGGAAATGACAACTGCAAGGACTTGGCGGTTGGTGGTTGAGCTGGTCTATGAATGCTGGTGGTGTAGCAGTAGATCGGGAAGTAGAAGGAAGGAAGGAAGGAAGGAAGGAATGAGAATTATAAAGGACAACGGAAAAGAGAGAATACAAAATGAGAACTCATTTAGGCCATTTATTAAGTTTTCAGGCGTGTCTTCCGAATTTCAAATATAAATTTATCTCCCTAATATTAGAGGAACCCTATTCGCATCATATAATGGTCAAGGAGGTAATACGTGCACGCGTAAGAAAAAGTGGGGGGAGGAGGGGGGAAAAATGGGAACAAAGCACCTCGTCCTTCTTGCTTCTTAGCTTTGACTAATTGTTGCCTCTTATTTCTTGGGTCAATTTCATCAACCTCACGTCATAGTGGGTTCAATGATTATATCAGCGATAGAGGTGGGAGATTCATGTAGAGGTGCACCAACGAAACATGGTTAGAGAAATTCCAAATTGGAGACTCAGACTAATTTATTTAATCCGTAATTCGTTAGGTCAAACTCTTGATATAAATGTGGGTCTATCTAGCTATTAGGGGCGTCGACGGTTTGAGTTGGATTGGGTTCCTCTAATACCCGACTCAATCCGAAACAAGAAGGATGTGGGTTTATTGTGACCTATAAAACCCAAACCGAAAGCCCAGTTTGAATCAATTCGGGCCGGTTCAGTCTTTTTTTACTTCTTTATCACAGGGCAGTGGCCTCTGAATACCTAACCCAAGTGAAGTATCACCATTACCTACATTATTCTCCACCAAAGGAGGAGATGATCCTAATAGAGGTTCCAAAGAAGCAAATGCATTGAGGCGTTCATATACGCGATCTGACGAACAGTGAGCTCCTTCCACACACACTATACTTTGCCAATTCCCAAACCTTATCATCAACTTCTAGAGGCCCATGTAACCCCATAACCGATTCCCAAACCTCTCCATCGAGCGAATATCTACCGTGCGCGCGATACTTCGAGTCCGTGATGTTCTTGAGCTTCCTTGCCTCTTCGTCTACTCCGACTCCGACAAAAGGAGTAATTGAAGTTGGCGAGAAACACGTAAGCGACTCTAGGATGTACCTTGCGCCAAAAATTTGGAAGACAAGGCACTTGTGGCCGACAAGGAGTTGTACAGGTCGCGCCCTGAATCCAAATGAGGACGACTGAAGGTTCATCGGTGACCCAAATCTCAATGTCCTCATTGTAGAAGACTATTTATTCAACAATAGCTAACCATCGCACTGTAAAAAATTGGATAGGTTCGATCTATGGTCATTGGGTCCTCCTAAAAAGATCTATTAAATTCATCAAGTTGTTCCAAAGGTGAAAACAAACTTGCCGGCGAGTGGCTCCCCTCTAGCTTAAACTCATCAGCCTCTGAGAGAGAGAGAGAGGGGTTGCTAATGATGCTGCCTCTTGTGGAAGGAGACATGAATTTGCAGCAAAATTTTCTAAATCTGCAAGCTAAGGTGTTTCGGTTTTTGATCCGGAAGGATTCAGATCATAAACCCGAACCAAACCGAGCTACCACAGTGTCTGAATTCTTTTTACTATCACCCAAACCGAAAAAGAGACTCAAAATTTTCAGATCAAATCGATCCAGTTTGGGTTTGCACCCCTTCTAGATATGTCAATGAGCTCAAATTTAGACTTCATGTAATCTTTATTACATGAAAGTATCAAAGCTTCTGCAGGACGTCCTAACAAATCATATCACTACCAGTGATTCATGATTACTACATGAAAGTATCAAAGCTTCTGCAGGACGTCCTAACAAATCATATCACTACCAGTGATTCATGTAATCTTTACTACATGAAAGTATCAAAGCTTCTGCAGGACGTCCTAACAAATCATATCACTACCAGTGATTTGGCCGCGGGCCCTTAATCTGTGCCCATCACGATAGGTCCGGCGATGACGGTCATTGCAGCGACATCCAAACGAAGCGATGGAGATTGAAGTTGAGAAATGTCGATACGCAAGAGTATCAGGATTAAGGAGATTAACTTATACTTGAGGATGAGATTTTTCAGGTGCAGGTGCAAATTGCATTTAAAAAGCCCAAATCAGAAACTTAGTATATTTAAGAACAATTAATATATCACAACCGGCCCACGCATCATTGTTTTGAGTTGAAAATGACCATCTACTTAAACTTGGGCTCCCTTTTGCTGCCTTTTAGCATTAATGTCTATGATTGAACATAACGGATTTCTGTCGGGCGTCCAAACAATTGACGTTGTACTCTTGCCAACATCGAGATTGGTTTTTCTAATCTAATTTGCTGAACCCTAAATAACAGAACTGACACCTCTTCAAAGGTGACCAGTATTGGATTTACTAAAAATGGAGAGGTACCAATCAACATTCCCTTTAACTATGAAAAAAAAAAGTGCAACAAATCAAATTGATCAGGTAACCCAAGAAAAGAAAAGACAAAAAGAACTCAGATCCGCGGCCCTAACACCTGTCAGAAGTTGAAGAACAAATGAATGTTCAAGAGACAGCAAATGTCATTATAAATGATTTTGTCATTTCGAGCCCAACTTAGCACATTATTTGACCCAGTAGCATGCTCTTCAATCCATGGTTAAAGGTGGAACACACCAGACAGAGAAAGAGAGGAACACCATAATGTGTAGTGGGAGCGCATGATTGCTAACTCTTGGAGTGGCAAGTCGTCTTTGACTCAAATTCAACCATAAGCATCGAAGTCGAAGGGAATAATACACAAAATCATTCTCTGGGAGCCAGATAAAAAGCGTGAAAACTGCATGGTGAGGGTCGGGAGAGGGACCCTTCAGCCGCTGAACTTTATCAGTAGAACAAGGCCAAAGAAAGAAAGACCCCAACAGGGGTTTTAAAGTAAACCATAAGTTCTTAAACTTCGGCGCATGCGTGAGGAAATTACGATCTTCTTGAGCCTACTGTAGGTGAGAAGACAGGGCACGCCATTTTCACGGGCTTTCAGAGGAAATCACGTTTGTTCACAATCACGTGTAAAGTAGGCATACTAGAGACTTCTCTCGTTTTCTACCAGTTTCTTGTTTCATATTCAAACGTCAACCTTCACTCTACATTGTTGATACCGAGGAATCTGTGCCTAAAGCAAGAGGTGATTCATCTTTCGATACGCACAATCACTATGTAAATCTACCAACTTCCCACTCCATCCTACTTCTCCTTCCCTTCACTTGGATTGTAGATGATAGGCATAATATGCGCAATGCATTTTTTGCAATAAGTTCCTGGTCAAACTTTAGCAGCAAAATTTTCTGTTCTCCGGTAAAACCAGTTAGATCTAAAAAGAAAGACAGACCCGCATTTACACACAATCTCCATCTCAAGATCTGCACTCTTCTTTGACCAAGAAAAGGAGGCAAAATTGACCTTAAGAGGCAAATACGTAGCAGAAACAACCGTGCTTGCGCAATATATGGAACGGTCAACTCTAATGACTCTTTCGACCAAAAAAAGAAAAAACTCTAATGACTTCGACCCAAAAAAAGAAAACTCTCTCATGACACCTTCACCTGAAATGCATCTGTAAGAATTATTCACGAAAAGTAAAAAAGGTGTTTACTAAATAGATTATCACTTTTTACTCTTCACCAAATCTAAATCTTATACATTTTGACTTCTTTTTTACCAAAATCATATGAAACTTCCAAAGCATACACACAAAAATCCACATACAACTTTTTTCATAAATTTTTAAATATTAAATAGTCTTTTGAATTTTGACAGGAATGTAAGAGGTTTATGTTTTTATTTTGAAAAAAATCACAGACAACATAGAAGATAGAAACATGGCCAAACAATCAAAAATGGAAAAAATAAGTCCACACACATATCAATTGACACAAGATACGCCATAGAGAATTCATAGTCCTTCAAATGAAACTAAACGTCGACTATAAGAAATCCTTTAAAATATTGAAACGAGCATTTCCAAATAGAGTTTTCTAAGAAAATTTTCTTAATGAAGACATCTCATATCTCTAAATTTTGAAGAAATATAATAGTACTAAGCAATCATAGAAAACTAATGGCACCACGTTCAGAAGCGGTTTCTCTATTTTACTACGTCATTACTGCAGTCACGTCGTACTAAAGCGCAAAATTTGTAAAATAAAAAAAAAGTACACAACCTAATGTTGTCTCGCAAAAAATTTTAATTTTTTTCTTACCAAGAGTTTGCCTGAATTTTTTTTTTTATTTGGCAAAGAAGGAAGGTTTTCACTTTCCACCTCAGTGTCTATTGTCAGCCCTCAATCATGATCCTACTCCAAGCAATCATCTGACAAAATGAGAGAGAGAGAGAGAGAGATTAGGAGCAACCTTCCAGATCCTTAGTTAAGAACCGAGTTCTGCTCAAGCCAGCAACTGAAAGAAATGATCATCAGTGATTCATGGCTACAAAATAAGCAACAAACAATGCATCAAAACACATGTGCATCGATCCATCTTAATGATCAGTAAATAATCCGCCTACAAAAAGAGATTATGATGTATAGGTATTTTCTTGGCAAGATGTGAGACATAGCGTATATAGAAATGATAAAGCACATATACAGAAGAGAGAAACGTTAGAGAGAACAGGCTTCTGAGTTATGTGGTGAGGCCAGCAGTAAAAATCATGACGAAGATAAAGGTCTAATGTAAACTTGACTGCATAGTACTACGAACATACAAAATAGCTTATGCTAAAGTGATAACATTTGCAGGCACAGTAATGATCTCTCTCTATGGAGAGTAGCTCCTGGTCGTGAGCAGTCTCGTTAAAATGATGATCGAACTCAGCAGGAGAAAAGAAGGGCAATTTGACAAGCACGAGATGAACCCTCTTACCTTATGGTAGTTCCACCAAAGAAATTTAAGGCGGGCGAGGGAGGGAGAGAGAGGGAGAGATAGAGAAGCCAGCTGTAAATATGATTAGCTCAAACCTTCACGACTTCACACAAGTAGAAAGATCTGTTTCTGCTTTTCTTGGTACTTTTGTGATGATTCTTGACGTTTCATCTCCTCGGATCTCTTTTCATCACTTGATCTTTGATTTCCTCAACAGTATTAAGTACCAGAAGAAAACCTAGGAAAAACAAATCAACACAACAAGATATATATCACGAGGGTTTTCACAAAGAGAGTCCAACAGAGCTCACTTGGCAGTATGCCCACCTCCTTCGAAACAAGCGAAACATGGAGGATTTTTTCCTTTTTTCCCCTTTAAAAACAACAGGGTTTCACTCTATCGTTTTTTCTTCCCCATTGGATGAAGGAGGTGGACAGAATGCCAATAAACTCTGTAAGAAACCCTTTGCCAAATCCACATGAAGGCAAAGAAACCATCACACCGTATTCAGCACACAAGAGCAAGAAGAGCAGGTGGGTCTCTCTCGCGTGTGCTGTGTTGACACAGAAATACACAAGACAGCTGGTGAGGAAGGGAAGATGGGTCATATTTAAGATGGGACTCATGGTGGCGCATGGAAGGGAGGAAGTACAGTGAAGAGGAGAGAGAGAGAGAGAGAGAGAGAATAAATAGGAGAGAGAAGGTAGGTGATGGGTTTAAATTAAAATTGAATATAATTAATGTCGAAGAGAGAAAGCGAGGGGAGATTAGACGGTTCATTTCATTCCAAGGAAAGGTGGGTTTATTTAGAAGGTTGAAAGTATCATCATAGTTATTCTTCCCCCTTTTACTGCTTGCCTCGTTTCTGATGAAAACCTCACTTGTGTTCTTGTTTCCTCTTCTTTCTGTATTCATAGATATCTTCGAAATTATAATCTTTTTAATACAAGTATTTAATAAATATGGTCTTGTTAATAAATACCTCCTGGACACTTATTAAAACATGCTTAATGTGAAGAAAAAATTGATCTTCAATACATTAGTTATGCATATCACAAGACCAATTAATACTTTGAATATTATAATATTTTTTTATTTGGTTGCTGAACTTGGATTGCCTTTTAATAATTATGTGCTAAAATCTTTTCTTCTTTGGTATCTTAATAACTATTGACAAGACACTAATTAGTAAAAGGACTTTGTTTCTTTTTGGTCGGAAAAGGACTTTGTTAAAAAGGGCCATTAATGCACTTGTTTAGCAATTAAATCAAGAAATAAGTAATTTCAACGGCCGACTAGTCTTGTGATATGCACAACCAATATTTTCAAACTCGAATATTTGGACATTGATAATAATATCATGTGCTCTAAAATCATTAGTACATTTATGTACATTTATTAATAAGTGTTCTCATGATACTTGTCAAAGAATCAAGTAAAGAAAGTTTATTTTTTTCAATGATTGTCTCTCTTGTGCCATGCATTATTAGTGTATTGAAAATTAAAATATATTCTTATCAGGCAAGTTTAATGAGTGCCTCGACGCACTCGTTAGCGATATCACATATAAGAGTTTTTCTCTTTAAGGAAACAAAAAAGTGAGATGACGGGATTCTTTCCTTTGGCCAGAAGAAAAGTAAGAATTGATTTCTCATGAAATAGAAGGACTGAAGTAAACGAGAGTTTTTTATATAGTTATCCGTTAAAACTCAAAAATTTATATAAACTTCAAAATGTTACGAAAAAGGTCCCCATAATATTAAACATTGAAAGATATATATATTTAAATGTTAAAATATATATTCAACATTGAATAATTACCGAGTTTTGACTTTCAAAACATTAAAAAGTGAAAAAGAGAAGTGGCTCCAAATTCACTTGATGACATCTTTTGTTTGAAAGTTTTCAAATCACGAGAGGATAAGTTCCTTCCCAGAGACCTCCTCTTCCAATCGTATTCCCATCAAAGTCCGAATGCGAAAAATTTTCATTCTCGCTATGAATGATGCTGTCTTTTCATTTCATCACTTTGTTTGAAAAATGACAAAACTCGCATTCAATGACTCAATGATGGGGAGTTTGAAGATTTGGCTTCAAGATAGTGGCCGGTGCTACTAAACATCTTTCGACTTCACCAGTACTCTAACCCGTTCTCTTTTACTTCCTACATCTTTGCTTTTGGTACAAGATCATCATCGAACCATGGAATAAGCATCCTCTCCAAACACATCTCCGGCCGTATGCTTGCAAACAACGTGACGAAACATGTCGGTCGTATTCAACGCGTTAATCTTCCTTGGACGAGCCGATCGTGAGTTACTCGCAACATAAAATTTGTTCTCGCGATGCATGGCGATTTCTCTAGTTGGGGTGCATTATAATGGCGTAGAATTGCTTCTTGGGTAATGCTGTCCACGGTGAAAAATTGGGAATGATTCATCATTTGGGACCTATCAAAAGGAGGGCCCGAGCCAAAAACATATCCTGCAATTTCTTTTTGGTCCCTACTTCTTATTGTCGAGGCCACCAAGAGTGGAATCCGAGGCTTGGCTTCTCCATGCCCCCTCCGCTCTCCTCCCACGACTTCAAATTTCAAACATCATCAACACGAACATATATGCTTTGACCTTCGTCTCAAGCTAAAAAGGTGGAAAACATAGGTCAATCCTATGCCATTATCGTATGCTGATAGAGAGTCTTCGCATCTCTTTTTTACTTCGACTTTTCTTTCGGAATTGCACGTTTCCCTTCGTCATCATGATTTTAAACACATGTCATGGACGTGAAAATTTTCCTGAGTCCTTTTTTATTTGTTTCCTTATGGAAACACTTCAACATGTTATCATCAATAAACCATGATGTGCGTACGACGTGCGTTGAGACTAGCTGACCCCCACGATTCGCGAGCATATGCATTTCTAAAAGTCTATTTGGAAAGCAGTCAAAAACTTATTATTTTTTACTTATGTCTTTCCCTAAAAACTACTAAATGAGAAAAAATATATGCATTTTAAGCCTAGAAAATTATGCGTGATTCTATATATTGACATTTGTATCACGAAGTATATATTTTAGATATTTTTGTGCTTGAATAAATTCAAAATGCGCAAGTTGCAAAATCTTAAAAAAAAAATTCATAAGTCAAAATTGTCACTACAAACAGGAAATACCCATTATGCATGTATTTGCGGTGATTATGTCTTTATAATTCATAGCTCGGACTTAGCACGCGCGAGAAACTCATGGTCGAGAAAGATCAGTGTAAGCGAACAGAGGTTGAATATGGTATGGACATGCTTTCATTGGTGTAGTCAATCGATGGTTGTCTAAATTTCCCTCACTCACGGTTTATACTCCGTTCCAACTTGCTGTTCTTTCAACTCTCATAAATCTTCTGACTCGTTTTTCATGGGCTCTTGCAGTTGCAGGAACCAAATATGGATGCTCCGAGTAGAGAGAGAGGGAGAGAGAGATCTTCCTTTTTGTCGTGTGATACGTCGCACTCATCACGCTCACAAACCCTGCTCTGTTTCATGTGCGCAAGCCTTTTGATTTCTCACTTCTTGGTCACAGCATTTAACGTAGCTTCAGCAGCTCCCACTTCAATGCGCTTCATAATTTCCGGGAAAAAAGGATAATGGAGAGGAAATCACACGCTTTCGATGTGGATTCTCTCTTCTTTTCTTGGGGTATTTATCAAGCCAACCGAGCAAATGAACTGTTTCCTCTCCAAACCCTTCCTCATTCATTGCATGAGATCTACCAATGCCCGACCCTATTTATTGTAAATCCTTTTTTTCTGTTGTTTTCCTTTATTTCACAGTTCAAGTTTCGAAATCGAAAAGGGTCGTTGCTGTTGATCTTGACTTTCGTTCTGTTCTGGTGTGAGAAAGTTGAGGAAGAGAGACATGCCCAGTTGTGTCCTCACTGGCCTGGTGGTGGGTATAGTGTTGTCAGACCGCTATGATTGAGTCATTGGGAAGATGAAAAGAGAGATGTCCGTTGCATGCTGCATTTGCATCTGTATGTGCCTTTCGCTGCCATTGATTTGAGGTTTCGAAGATAATGCGAACGTGGTATCTGCAAATGGCATAATAGTTTCTGAACCAAACCCTTTTTTTCCCCTAGACCTACATGATCTTTCTGGCCTCCGAATCCGGATTGAAAAGGTGTTTCTTTCGTTCTTCATTTTGGGTTTTTCTTTTGGCACTTATAGTTCTATATATATTTGCATATTCCTTTTCACAAATCTAATAATGGTCAGATTTAATACCGAAGTATAACATCAACTGATGGAAAAGAGATACTAATATGTTTCATTATCCCTAAATATACTGCCCACTTGAAAATAGACAAATGATATTTCGTCTCTTGTTGTAAATTTTTAAAAAGATTCGAACCTGCTGCCTCCATCCCCAGCTCTAGCTGGGCCACTTCTTCATTCTCTTCTATCATTGCAATCTCATATAATACAACAAATAAGTGAGACCAGACAGACCAATCACAAACGAGTTTTTCTCTCTTGATTCGCTACTTTAGTAGTTTAAAAGATTTGGAAGCTTGATGAAGAAATTTTTTTTTGATCATTTATATTGGTTAGGACAATGAGTTAGCAAAAAAAATCGTTTCGTTATGAACAAAAGGTTCGAGCATTACTTTACCTACTTAGAATCGATTTACTATTTTTAAATGTCACGGCGAATGCTCTTACCATTTAAGAATTCCAAAATACTTTGCTAACGAGATGCTTTAAACTACCTTATAGTTTTACATGGCTACTCATTTTTTTCCAATCATGTCGATGTTTCGAGAGTGTTAACAAAAGACGCACTCATCTCATGAAACTGAAAATTATATAAGAAATGTATGGACAAATTTGTTTACATATTAAGCACTTAAAATTTCCCAACAGATCTCCTAACGTTGAAAGTTACTGAAAAAATTTTCTTACGCATGCTGTTGAAAACTCGAGAGAGTGTCTGTATCACGTGAGATCAGTCGGAAAGACTGGAGATAAAGCTTCGAGCTCTTCCATTGGCTTCTGCTCCATGGAACAAAAGGCCTTGTTGACCTTTCGAGCATAAAAGCTTAGGTTTGAAAACGCCACACACTGCACTTTTTTGAGTGCAGGTCGGAGAAAATTCCTTCTCGTGATGCATAAAATGTGAGAATTATGCAAAAGGTTCATCCACTTTTGTTCCCTGTGGAGAGTGCAATTCTAAGTGACCACTTTTGCATTCCTCTGGTGTGTTTCTTTCTCGCTTTTTCTGAAGGGAACTTTTTGAGATAATGCTATGGTGGGGTTGGAATTTACCCTCATGGCAAGAGTCGGCCTTTCCTCTACATCTTTAAGGAATAAATCCTTTCCAAGGTGCATGAGCCTTTTGGGTGGGAATTGGATTTGCCTATTTTTCAAGATTAGGGTTTTTTATTTTCAAGAATTACCGGTTGCCATATCTTCTAAGTAGTGCTGGAACTTTACCTTGGTTCATCTTCGTATGTATAGATATATGAAAGAAGGGTCATGGCATGAATACCTTATTTTCACCTTTAGAAAGAAATATTTCAAATGATTGCGTTTATGCTTTATACCAAAGTGTGAACAACTGCTCCGGTAGTCATGTCTGCAAAATTATATATTTCCTGGCTTTGTTATTAATTATAATTGGCA